AGCTCTTGGCCAGAAACTCTATGGAAACCATACAGTGTGGGGATGAGTGCTAGAGCATCGCCCCAGTGAAATGCTGGCATTCTGTGTCATGGCGGAAGTGACATCGTTGTGCAGCAATGAAGACTGCTGTCCCGCTCTGCAATAAATACCTGCCCCCTCATCTCCATTTGGTTGCCAGGCAACTGAAACAATACAAGCTCAAGCCATGAAGAAGGAGCCTATACAGGGGCTCCTGCCCTGCCAGCATTATATCTGCATAACATTGGTATAGAGGTGAGCTGCAGTGTGGACTGTTCTCCCAGAAGCCATGCTGCCCCAACTCCCATACTGTGTCGTTAATTTTGAGGCAGGGCCCTAAGTATTTTACTAGTATAAAAACATAGATTTGCAAAGAAACTCTTTTTGTATGTTTCTGTGATCAAAGATAGCATGTTTACTTGTCACCGCATGAATACGTGGCTTTCTTTCAAATGTAGAGTCAAACCCTTCCTTAAATTTTGTCTCAGCTAAGCAACAGCTATTGCAAGCTTACATTCTTTTTGTTTATCCTTGATATTAAAGAAGTGAATCAGTGGATGTTTTGGCAGATCAAGCTTCCTATTCAGAAAGTGAATATATAGAACCAGAAGAAAACATGAGGTAATCTTTGTGGGTTTGTCTGAAGCTAGCTGTGCTTCCTCCCTGATATTTAGTGCCCCTGTAAACATTGTGCACCAGTGTAGTGTGTCTGCTTGTTGAGCGCTTTAGATTGAACCTGTTGGTGGCCGGCATTATTCTGAATATGTCTGTGAGGTTTTAACGTACTCCTGCATGGAAAATACATATTAGCATGTTTTTCAACTGATGTCATCAAGGGATTTAGCAATGTTCTGAGAAGCAAGCTTGTTCTGTTTCAAGACACTGAAACAAAGGGTATAAGGTATCATATATGTCTCCAAGACAAACTCTACTGAAATGTAAAGGAAATATGTAGTATTCTCAGTCAATTTCTGTTTGTAGCAATAGGACTACTCCATGAAACATTTCATATAGTTGCAGTATAGGCTGCTGTTAGTTATGTAAGTGAACCACCTCTTCTTCTCCAGTGTCATTTAATAATAACTCAAATTTGACCTTCTGTGGAATTTAGGATGCTGCTGGTTGCTGTGCAAGTTAAATTAATAGCTTGTAAACCAATAAAAATCATTAATATATGCATAATAAACTAATTGTGACAGTTCTTGAAACTTCAGTGGAGGACAAAGACATGAATGAAAATGAATGTACAAACTTGTTGTATGAACTTTTAAAAATATTTTATCCATGTCCATAGCCATCGTTGTATAATATAAAATCATATATTGATGATATAAAATTGCATGATTATTTTAAAGTGTAGTGTATAATTAAACCATTCAAATGGTTTTATACCAATGGTACTCACTCTGCACACTGTGGAGAGCCACATTAGCAAGGTTTGCAAACTACCAGTTTGGTGTAGTGATTAGGGTTGCCAACCCCCCGGTTTGCCAGGGGTCCCCCGTTTTGGGGGGGTTCTACCTGCCGCCGTCCAGATGGCCGGCGGGGGAAGCCCCACCCCCAACACCCACAGCCACCCCTCTTTCTCCCTTTAAGTGTGTGGAACCCGTGTTTCCTCCCAAGCCTGTGTTTCCTCCCAAGCCCGATCTCCGCTTGAGATCAGGCTTGCACGGAAATGCCAGCTTCGTGCACATAAAAGGGAAACGCGGCTGCTCTTAAAGGGGAAACGCCGGCTCCTTTAAGTGCAGGGAACAGCCGTTTCTGGAGATCCGGCGCGTGGGCAGGTGGGGGGGCGGCGGACATCCCCAATGTGTCGTCATCATGTTGGGGATGCCCCACCCCCTCCAGGAACGCCCCCAAAGTCCCCCGCTGGGGGTGGAAGATGGATTTGGCAACCCTAGTAGTGGTTTGATTCCTCACTCCTCCACTTGCACCTGGCTGGATGACCTTGGGCAAGCCATAGTTCTGATAAGAGCTGTCCTTGAAAAAGAGCAGTTTCTGTCAGAGCTCTCTCAGCCCCACCTACCTCACAGGGTGTCTGTTGTAGGGAGGGGAAGGGAAAGGAGTTTGTAAGCCGCTCTGAGACACCTTTGGGTAGTGAAGGGCAGGGTGTAAATCCAATCTCTTCTCTTCTTCTTCTTCTTCAACCAAAAGGGTACACAACTGCTGTATCCCCTGTACAAAATATATAATATAACTCTTAATTACCAGAGTGCCTCTGAGCATGTAGGGTTGTTTCTTCCCACTACCGTTAACCCTTCGGCAGCCCTTGTTTATCTGGAATTAGGGTATGCAACTCAGGACAGAAAACAGTGTGCAAGCTTTTGAGTTCTTGAGAAATCTGTCAGGTTGGATATTAGAAAGTAAATGCTTCTCTGTGTTAAAAGTTCCCTTCCAATTTAATTTAGTTCTTCAGGACAAGCAGTGGTTAGAACCTCTCTCTATGTTAATTTTTCTCTGCACCAGTTGTTTTGTTTTATGGGTTAGCATTAAATGGTGTTAGCCCTCATTACACCACCTCAGTCAGCTGCTTATGTTGACCCGGCCTCATACACAGAACCCCTGCATTTACACAAACGTGATACAATAATTACGGACGAGTTGTGATCAATGTTACCTCTAAGCTGTGGAGTCTTGTGAGCCAAAATTCTACTTTGTGAGCTACTGACATTAAAGTTGTGAGCAAGCAATTTGGCTACTGCATGAATTAGTTTGCTCTGGAGCCATCTTTCCTGAGCTAAGACAGAAATGTGTGAGCCAGAGGCTAAAAAACTGAGCTAGCTCACGCTAACTCAGCTTAGAGGGAACACTGGTTGTGATATGTGTTAAAAGTATACTGACCCCGGTCACATGGGCCGTATATCGTGGGGGGGGAGGCGTGGCTGTTTGCCCCGCAGCGAAATAACGCGCGACTGCGCGATCAGGCATCCCCTCGCGGTCTCGTCGAGGTCCCGTGGTTAGGGGGGAGGTGCCGATCACACGACGCGCCAAAGAAGCAGCACAGCAAACGGGGTTGTGGGGTTTTTTTTAACCTGAAGTATGTGCATGCCCCGTTGGGTGCCTGTGCGCATCCCTGCAGACTTCGGGGGGGGGGAACCTTTTCGCAATGGGGCATGGGCGGGCGCCGGATGCCACCGGAAATGCAATCAGACGCCCGCCCTTGCCCCGCGGTTTCTGGAAACTAGTACCTCTGAGGTACTAGTTTTTTACCACGCGTCTTTGGCGGGAAGCCTCGGGTGAGCCACGGGAGCTCTACGCTTCCCAGATGTGGCGGTGAGATTGCGCCCAGAAAATCCGCCTATCTTTCGTCTCTCTAGCGTGGCTAATGTTTATGCTAGCCCGGGCCACTGTTAGTTTTACACTGGGCCCATAGTAATGACGAAATTATTCCAATTTCTAAAGTATTTACCCACTTTCCTGGAACATGGGGTGGGTGCCATGGAAAATAGTGCTCAGATGAGCCACAGGTGGCTTCCAAGACATTTAGGGAGTATCACTGTTTTATACTATAGCATAGTTGGATAACTTTGGAATCTTTTTATGCCTTTTCTTTGCATTTATATATGTTCTCTCAGAATGCTGGTGCAGTGACATCTTACATTATCTCCAACAAAAAATGCAGTTAATATTACAACACAGACTATAAACCTTTTTTTAGTTGCAGGCTTAGTTCTGCTTCAGGGTTTTCACTGCTTTCTGAAATTATGACTGATGGTTGACGCCAGTACATTATAAACTGAAAATATTATTTGCGAATAGTTCATTATAGCATGGACTAGAAAACCCTTGTTCAGATGCACTGGTCCTGGTGAAATATACAGCCATAATGATTACTTCACTGATCCAGAGTAAATTACCTGGCTTGACATTATTAATCATTTATGTCTTTTTTTTGTCCTGAGGGTCTTCAGAAAACAGTAACAGTTTCATTTTTATGCAGAATATGCCAGTAAACCATGGTTTGTTTCATTACTGAGCAATTTTAATTTTTTTCTGTTCATTTATCAAAAAAGTTTTGAAAGAAAGCACAGTTCTTTAATAAACACTGTATGTTATCAATAAGCAAACTTTTAAACAAATGTGTTCATCCTTCTCATTTGGCATTCTACCTCCAACAAAAATGCTAAATTATGTAACCAAGTTAACTATTCCAAAGTATAGAAGGGCTTTTATGCTAGCCCGCTTGAATGTCCTACCTTCAGCAGTGACGCTAGGAAGATTTAGGGGAATTCCGCACTACGATAGACTCTGGGTGATTTCTCATGAGAGCTGCCTCGCAGCACAGCGCCGTTTGCCTCGACACAAACGTGTCAATTTCACACCCGAAGCTCTGGGGCTGCATTTTGACTCGGGGCTTCGCCCAATTTCCTCCGCAGTTTCGTGATCCTGGTTTTTGAGGATCATGAAACTGCGGAGGAAATCGGGCGAAGCCCCGAGTCAAATGCAGCCCCGGAGCTTCAGGTGTGAAATTGACACGTTTGTGTCGAGGCAAACGGCACTGTGCTGCGAGGCAGCTCTCGTGAGAAATCACCCTCTGCAATTGTGGCAGCAACAGTATTGACTCTGTTGACTACATCTTCTTCAATTGTCCTAAATTCTTAGAACGAAGAGCTGAATCGATCTCCCCGTTATTTAATCAGAACTCTCTTTCCCCAGAAGTGAAATCATCCTGGCTACTCAGAGAGAAAGATAAACCACTCTGTGTGGCAAATGTTCTGGGCAGCTGTTGTTAAGTTATATGATAATTAACTTTTAGGTTCTCCTCTAATGGGGTGAGAGTTTGCTGTTTATGAGTTAGGTTGTAAAAACAGTAAGGAGTAAAGAAAAATAAACTTTGTATGTTACCAATAAGCAGTATTTTTTTAAAATGTTATAAATGTACTTAACGCTGATCTTTTCCAAACCCAGTATGGTGCGGCATAATGCGTAACTTCAGATAAAAGCTAAAGGTCAATTGAGCTGCTTTTTGACTAACATTACAGGAAATGGGAACCTAGACTACCATATCAAAGATCCAGATCAACAGAACAACGTCCTGTGCTAGAGCGGCCCAGCCCCCGCTCTCGATCCACTGAGCGGCCTGACTCAAACCTCATGAGATCGATGCCTTCATTAATGACTGGAAGATCTGCCCCTCCCTCACCTGCCTTATCGAGGTGAAACAGACAATCCAATCAGACTAATCCTGCCCCACCAGCTCACTTCTTTATTTTCCCAAAAAGCTCAATGATGTTGCCTTCCATTATTGGCTGATCACTAGTAACCGTAGATACTAACCCTGCCAGCGTCAACACACTATTTATATTCTACCGAGGATATAATGGTGTGGCTGCCATTGTAATTTGTTTACTAACAATAATTAATGACACAATTAATTACATTTGTTTTGTGATTTCTCATTTATCAGGAATCCTGGGTGATTTCTCACACTACAGCACCTCATAACTGTCATGTACTTCTCTTACAGAATGAGAAATTTTATGTGATCATCAGACATCACTTACGGAATAATCATCATAACATCAAATGAAACTTTTTTTAACAAAAAACAGTTTCTTAAACTTAATTGTGCTAATTTTATGTATTAACCACTGTTTTAATCACTGTTTTCTCTGATTTGCTGTGTGCATGTTTTGCATTGTTCCTGTTTCAGTAATGTATTGTATTCATAATCAAATGGTACTGAAATAAATCTTTACAAGAAATTCAGTGAAAACAGCCACCAAAATTGTCATTTTGTCCAAATCAGATTATTTTCTCATTAAATATTGTGTTTCTTTACTTTTCAATAGTGAATTATGAAGAAACAAATTATGAAGTTATTACTCCATTTCATTCATTGAATCTTACATTTGCTTTATTGCCTATCATCAATTTTGTACCTGAGTAAAACATTGAAATAGTATGTTAATTGAATTATTAAACTGTACATATTTTCCTATTAAACATGAAAATATAAAAAACATGCATACACACAATTTTCTGTGTATATATATTTCTGTATGTGTTAATGCATCTGTGTGCATATATATATTTCCATAGACAATTATCAGATGCAGTTACACAAGCATGTTGTATTTAGTTCCTTTGCATAATTTTGGTTTTTCTTTCCCCCCAGCTAAATATTTCTTTATCAATAACTATACCCTTATAGGCTCAGCTGTCACAATGTCAGCAAAAGTCCAACATGTACAAAAGCCATCCGTCATTTGTTAGTTCTTCAGATAACAAGGAGTAAATGATCTTGCAGTTAACTTGGTTTCTCTTAATGTGTATCTTGTAGGTCTCATGCTCGTACAGGGTCTGTCCAGACAAGCCCATCAGGTACTCCAGTAGCAGGACGCAGGGGGAGACAGTTGCCACAGCTCCCACCAAAGGGGACACTGGAGAGAAGTAAGTGAGCTTTTTAACGTATAGAAATGTTAGTGTTGAAGGATAAAAGGAAACTGGAGGTTAATATTTGCTGTAGCTTAAATGAAAACATATACATATTTCAGGGTTTGAACTGGGATTCATCAGTTAATATGCTGTTATAGAGCCTGGTACTTTTCAGCAGCTTTTAATGCTTTATGTTATTTTGTGAACATTAATATGCACCATCACAATTATAAAAGCAAATGTGTGGATCATGGCCAAGTTTTATTTTCATTGCAGTCACTGGCAACTTCTTCTTCAGTATCACATGTTAGAATTTTATCTGTAAAGGCTTGTAACAGTGAAATACTATAAACTGCCACATCATGAAGGTTTGAAGTTGTTACTAGTCCCCTTAAATTCCTAGGAATTTAGGATTATGTATGACCATACGTGACACAACAGGCATGTAGTTGTTGTTGTTCGGTGACAGTAATCAAAGTAATTTCCACAAAAATAAAGGTTGAACTTTTGGGGCACATATATGTCATTGCTGCAGGAGTAAATATTACTCCAGGAGTAAATATTGGAACAATACAAAAGGTAGACCATAATTAGGAGTGGTCAGATAGTTAGTGCTGTATATTGTAACATTGTTTTCATTCACATTGTTTTCTCCATGTGTACAGAACTTTGTAGAAGCGTGTTCATTGGTGACTGCTTGGAAAAGCCTAACATTGGGTGCTAGTATATCCAACCAAATATATTGTGCTGCAGCTGCCCTTGCTGTTATCCTGAGATAATTAGCCACATTCTGAGAACTTGGCCTGCTGTGGGTGTCACAATACCACCACTCCTATCTGAAAAACATTCTCACAGATGCATCAGAACATCCAACTGATGGGCTGGATCCAATGATCCATCAGTTGAAGGTGCCGATTATCATAGATCTTCCCTAATTTTCTTTCCCACAACTTCCCAAAGTTTCCTTAATTTTCTTTCCCACCAGCAGTCCCTTCCAGGAAAGTTGATTCCATGGTTTGTGGGACTCGTATGAAGTAATAGCCACATAGGTAGGGGGACTGCAGTGAGGGGGGAAGAGGCAAAATTGTGCTACCGGCTGTTTCAGTCAGTGGGCTTTGCTAACAGGAGGAGGGAATGATTTCTTCCACTTCCTCACTGCAGCCTATTGAGCCATGTGGCTATTATTTCACATAGGAATCAACTTCAGGAATCAACTTCCCTGGGGTTGGAAGGGACAGTGAAGAAGATCCATGATATTTGCATCAGTGGATTGCTGGATCCAGCCCATTGTAAGGGGCCTGACTAATAGTTATTATTAAACTTCTAGTTAATCGTTAAGACAGCCAATCAGATCCTGGAAATAACAAATAAAAGCTGTTCTGGGCTCCAAGTCAGAGTCATTTACGTTTGATAGAATTGTGCTTTTTTGTTCTAATTCTCCTTTTAGTTTAAAAAAAGGAAACTTTTGGAATTATAAAGGCAGAATATAAAGTACGGTTTCAGTATTAACATTGAGAGTACAGAGAAGTACCTATGAAATTCAGTTTATTGCTCAGCTGAACATTCCTCTTCAAACTTGCTGGGGGGTTTGCCCAATTTGCTTTGGTTCCCTTTTCTGATTTACATTTTTCCTTAGACAGTGGAGACAAGGAGATAGAACCTTAGGAAGGCTCGTACATAAAGAAGGGTTTTTTTCTTCCATAAGCAAAAAATAAACTCAGGTGCAGTTGATGTCAGAATCAATTATAGACAATATGTTTGTCTTACACATACATTTTAAATTTTATAGTATGTGCATTGTGTAAAAGTGAGGTATGTAACTTATCAGTAGCTTTAGATAAATAGCATTACTGAGCTGTATCCCAGTTTAAAGGCTTAAGGAGCTTTGGGGTTGGGTGTCACCAATATGAAGATGACACCAAGCTCTATATGTCATTATCCAAGCCTCCAGATGTGTCCATCATGGTTCTGAACCGGTGCTTTGAGGCTGTGATCAGGTGGCTAAGGCAGAACAAACTGAAGCTGAATCCAGGCAAAGCAGAGGTAATGCTGGTCAGGAAGGCTGATATTCTAGAGGGACTGAATCCACTTGTCGTAAATGGAGTAATGTTGGCTTTTTCAGAACAGGTTAAGACCTTGGGGCTGTTCATGGACCGTGCCTTGCTATTTGAAAAGCAGGTCGGCATGGTGACTGGGGGCACTTTCTGTTAGCTACATCTGATTCCCCAACTTTCTCATTATGTAGACTCAATAGACCTGGCCACATTGATCCATGTGTCTGTAACTTCACAATTGGACTGCTGCAATGCACTCCACAACGGTCTGCCCTTGAAGATGACCCAGAAACTGCAACTGGTCCAGAAAGTGACAACCTGACTGCTTTCAGGGGCCAACCGCAGGGAGTATATGTTGCCCATTTTGTAACAGCTGCATTGGCTGCCAGTCTGTTTCTAGGTTCAATTCAAGGTGCTGGTTATGATCTTTAAAACCCTTCACAACCAAGGACCCACATATCTGAAGGACCGTCTCCTTCGATCTGTTGCCTGTCCCACCTTCAGGAGGCTCTGCAAGGCCTGCCTGTTTGGCAGGGCTTTTGCGGGCATTTGAATAGCAGGCATTTCTTTAAGGGAGGACGGATTTGGGGGGCAGATTTGGGACTTGTTATTTTATCTTTGATTTTAGCTGGTGATGGTTTAACTACTATTGTAAACCACCATTAACCTAAAGAAAAGGTAGAATATAAATGTTTTAATTAGTTAATTAATCAATTAACTTATTTAGGTAGTTTAGAATACACGGATGACGTACATAATAGTGCTCTTTGAAATCAAGACCATGTACCCATTTCAGTTAAATTAACATGGAATTTGTGTAAAAGCAATTATATTTAAATTATATATATGCATTTAAAGAAGTGGGATCTAGTCCATGACATGTTTGCTAGAATAAAAGTGTGTTAGTCTGTAAGGTGCCACAAGACTCCTGTTCATTTTTGCTGCAACGAACTAACCTGTCTACCTCTCAAATACATGAAACTTGGTTTCAAATTCTGGTTATTATCAATCTCTGATTAGTGCTTTCTATGGTTAACATTGTGCAGGGGTAAACCTTAACCATGGTTAAGTCAAGCAGTCATCTGGAAGAGGGGAAAGAAAATGCGCTCCTACACTTTAACCTTAACACTGATTAAGGGATTAGGACCCATTACACCTGTCTAGGCCCTGTGAGCTAAGATGCTTTAAGGATCAAGGGACTTTTAAGAATTTGTCCATTGCAGTCAGTATTTATTTCATAGAATGTCTATACACATTTTACCATAGCCTGTCTTGGGATTTTTCATTTGTTGTGTATATTGCAATTGCGGAATAGAATTTCACAGAAGTGAAGTGTTCAGAGATCATTATCTTAGTCGATGATTTCCTAGAGTCTTTTTTTTTTTTTTGCAAATATGCCAGGTGAAAAGAAAGAACTACCTTTCAGTACTATTTGGAAGACTGAAAGAGCTTTTCATCTTCTAAAATACAGGTTTTTAGTAGGAGAATACTAGAATGGATATATCCATTGCATTTAAGAATGTACTAATATCATGGATACCATGAAATCATGCTAACTAGATGGTATTGTATGTTGTGTTTACTTTGGCTATGATCCAGAACAGCTGATTAAAAATGAAGCACCTACACCCCCACCCCAGTCATGTCACAAACTACTATGGAGCATCAGTTAAAGAAAAACAAGTCAAAAGTTACCTTTGGATTACAGGACTATTTTCACGATACATGCATACTGTGTCTAGTTCAGTGCCTAGCACATTACTAGTGCCAAGTATGTCAAGTAATGGGAACAAATTTTAAGCTTGGCTTGAAAGCTATTTTTGCATTTCAGTAACAGTCTTATGCTTACAGACACATCCATTCATCTTTAGATGGATACAATACAGCGGGAATACAAGGTGCTAGTGAAGGCAGATCTTCCCCCACCTTCTCCCCAAGAGCCTTCTTATAAATCCATCAACTCTGCCCCCCAAAAAAGAGTGTTGAGGTCAGGGAGGGCTTGTGGACAAACTAGCACAAGGTACAGGGGACTGCAGTGAGGAGAAGAAATAGGACAAAATAGCCCACAATTCCCTTTTCCACTGAATGAGCAAATGTGGCAGAGCAAGCTTTCCATTAGTGCAAGGGGGTAGGGTTATCTGGTGGCTCATGGAAAAGAGTCAGTGGGTGTTGGCATGCCTGGACATGTGCAAACACAGTGTGAGGGGGGCAGCATAGGAGGAGTCTATATAAGGCACCATTGTGCCAACTCCCCCCCCCACCCCGATTCACAGCTCTTTCCACTGAATGAGCAAATGTGGCAGAGCACGCTCTCGTTGTGTGAAAGAGAGCAGATTCTTGTTCAACTCTTGCTCCTCAATGCAGCTCCCACACCTCATGCATTTTTTCCCATGAGGCTGCTAGACCAGTAGTATGGAAACTTTAAGGATTTTAGGGGGGTGCTATATAGAAAGATCAGGCTTTGCAAATGAATTTCTCATGCTTTACAGGATCTAAATAACTGAATCCCTGGCCTTCTTGGATGTTCTTAGTGATACTTGATTTTAACATGAGCTCAGCCTGACTCTGTCGCCTCAGTCTAAATACTCTGCCACAGCTGTCAATATCCTCAGCCATGTTCACCTCAAAATATTCATATTCAAGGACCAAAGCTGTTGACTGGCCTACTTCAGACTTCTTTGAGCTTAGTGTTCCAAGAACTTTAGTGGACCAGGAGGGACTACAGTTGTCACTAATACCCAGTGTACTCCCTGTGGCTCATATACCCATATTGCAGAATTGTTGGATTTGAAATGATACAAAGCTAATTTTTCATCTTAATCTTCATATTCTCTGTGCAGTTCCATATCACATGGGATCTGTGCATATGCTTAATAAAAAAATTTAGTTAAGAATTATTTTAAATATCTTGTGACTTGTTTACTGCTGCTATACTTTATGTTCACTACCAGCGTCCAACAA